ACAACCAACTCTTGAAAGAACCCAAATTTAACAAAGTTATTTGGGTAAAAGTGTCAAGAGACTTTGACATTATTGTCCAGCAAAAAAAGAAGTTTGATATTCTCAAATTTCAAAAAAGGATTGCAAGAGAATTAAAATTGAAGCCAGAGGATCATGAGAATGAAACCGAGCTTGCAGGATTGATTTCACAAAAGTTGAGGCAAGGCAACTCTGTGCTAATTCTAGATGATGTGTGGCAGCAATTTTGTCTAGAAGATGTTGGAATTCCAATTCTAGATGGAAATAATGGTTGCAAGTTAGTACTCACGACGCGGTTACAAGATGTTGCTCGTGCAATGGATTGTGAGGTGATCATGGTGAATCCTCTTCCAGCTAATGAAGCATCAGCATTATTCTTGGAGAAAGTTGGAAGTGATGTGTTTTCAGATGGCAAAATTAAAAGAGATATAGAGCCATTTTTGAAGCAAATTTTGCAGAAATGTGATGGAGTACCCCTTGCTATTGTGACAGTGGCAAAATCAATGAGAGGGAAATCACTTCCTGGTCATTGGAAGTTGACACTTTCTGAATTTAGTAAATTTGAAAGCATTGTTGATTGTTTGAAATTCAGTTATGAATGCCTAGAACCACAATGCCAGGCGTGTTTTTTATATTGTGCATTATATCCTGAAGATTATGATATCCCAAAGAACGAGTTAATTGAGTATTGGATTGAGGAGGGGCTTATATATAAAGAAGGGAAAACTAGGGAGGCAATGAATTGGAAGGGTCATGATATACTCGATATGCTAGTTGACAGCTGCTTGTTGGAATCAGTTGAAAAGTTATACATAAAAGGATACAGAAAATTACATGTGAGTATGCATGATCTTCTCCGAGAAATGGCACTGGAAATCAGTCCTCAATTCTTGGTGAAAGCTGGCATGGCCTTGGAAAAGCTACCAGAGGAGCATGAATGGAGTGAAGATCTTTTGAAGGTTTCTTTAATGAGGAATTACATAAAAGAAATTCCTTCAAGCATGCCTTCTCCAAAGTGTCCTATGCTTACAACCTTGCTGTTGTCCAATAACAGGATTTCAACAATTCCAGAAGCTTTTTTTGAGCATATGCTTGGGCTCAAGATTATTGATCTTTCCAATAATCATGAGCTAAGTAGGCTGCCGACTTCTGTTTCCAAATTGGAGAAGCTTACTACATTATTGCTGGGGAATTGTAAGTCCTTAAGAGAGGTACCATCTTTATCCAACCTTGTAGGCTTAAAAAAGTTGGACCTTTCCTGGACATTAATTGAACAACTACCCCAAGGCCTCAACATATTAACAAATCTAAAATATCTTGGTCTTGGTGGAAGATTATCTGAAACACTTGATGAACAGCTACAAAATCTCTCCAAACTTCAGCATTTACTAGTAAATGCTTATCCCGATGCTGAAACAGAATATAAATGGGAGACGATTGGAATTTGGGGGAAGCTTCAAAACCTTGAGAAGCTGGATCTTCGTTGTTTGGATAACTTGAATATGGTGTTTGGGGAAGTAGGAGCAGTTGCTGAGTCAGCACCGCTACCAGCTGGCACATTTTCCTCTCTTCAATATATTAGTGTTTGCGGATGTCGTAAACTAAAGATGGTATTCTCAGTTAGGTGGTTGGGATATCTCCAGAAGCTACAGACTATTTATGTTAATAATTGTGAGCAATTGGAGGAGATAATAGGGTCTAAATTTGAAGAAGGAGAACAAGTCACTCTACCCAAGTTAGAAAGCTTGACATTGATGTTTTTGCCCCAATTGAAGAGCATCTGCAGTAGTTCTAGTACTGTTTTGATTTGTGATTCCATCAAGGAGATTGAAATTTACAGTTGCGACAATATAGAGAGTGTTTTCTGGTCAGGGTTCAACCCACTTCCAAATCTTGAATATCTAAAACTTTCCCGTTTACCGAATCTGAAATACGTGTTTGATGAAGGTGGTCTTGGTTTATCGCCATGTGTACCTCCCACAAGCTTTTTCTCTCTTAAAGAAGTTAGGGTAATTGAGTGTAATCAATTAAAGAAGGTATTCTCATCTGGATGGCTGCTCCGCTACTTCCAATCTCTACAAACTATTGAGGTTTCAGATTGTAAGGAAATGGAGGAGTTGATATCGTCATTGGATCATGAAGGAGAAAAAGTCACTCTACCCAAGTTAGAAAGGTTGGAATTGACCAAATTGCCCCAATTGAAGAGCATCTATAGCGGTTCTTTGATTTGTGATTCCATCAAGAAGATTGTAATTTTTCTATGCGAAAATATAGAGAGTGTTTTTTGGTCAGGGTTCAACCCACTTCTAAATCTTGAATATCTAGACCTTTCTTGCGTACGGAATCTGAAATCTTTGTTTGATGAAGAAGGTCTTGGTTTATCGCCACTTGTACCTCCCACAAGCTTTTTCTCTCTTAAAGAAATTAGGGTTTTTGGGGGTCATCAATTAAAGAAGGTATTCTCATCTGGATGGTTGCTCCGCTACTTCCAATCTTTAGAGACTATTAAGGTTATAGGCTGTTCCCAAATGGAGGAGCTGATATCGTCATCGACACATGAAGAAGAAAAAGTCACTCTACCCAAGTTACAGCGTTTGGAATTGAGAGGATTGCCCGCATTGAAGAGCATCTGCAATCGCTCCAGTGTGTTGATTTGTGATTCCATCCACCGTCTGTGGATTTCCGACTGTAAGAAGCTAAAGAGGATTCCTCTGAATTTTCCCTTGCTTGATAATGCCCAATTATCTCATCCTCCTTCCCTCAAAGAAATTGAGGTATGGCCAAAAGAATGGTGGGAATCATTGGAATGGGACCATCCCAATGCAAAAGACATCCTTTTTCCCTTGTGTAAATTTGAGCGGTGATAGGGCGCAC